CAAGAGAAAGCGAGTCGTCAGGATTAGGCTGGGATGTTTTCTTGAGAGCCATCGCTGATGCGTTCCTTGCCTTCTGCAGTGACACCACTTTGCATCATCAGGTTCTACTCTGAAAATTCTCTTTGCATCTCAGGACATCCCAGGTTACCATGGAGACAGGAACAAGCACTTTGAAATGATTCAAGCTTTACTGACCACTCTTCACCGGATGCTCACCTGGTTAGCGCCAGTTTCTTCCATCCTTTGAAATATATATATTTTTTATCTATCATGGCAGGTAGGAATTGGGCCATCTCACTGTTTAAGGGAGTCCCTTGTTCCTCCAGAAAACTCATTCAGTGGCTAATAGTTGCATTACACAGGCATAACTAGGGGAAGGAGAAGTGTTGGGGAGGGCCATAAAAGAGGAGGAGACGGAAACTATGATGGTGTGGCTTAAACATTAGCATTAATTAATTTATTTATTACTTCCTCTTCACTAGGGATTTCTTTCTCCTTCCACTTCTGAGGAAACACTCTTGCCCCAGTGATGACATGTATTATCAAGTATAACTCTTCCTTATGTTTTTTGGGGGGAAGTATAATTCCCAATAAAAAGCATTCTGGTCTATGGTCTATTTTAAACCCCATCATTTCTTCCCAATCCTGTGCCAAAACTCTTGTGCTTTTTTACAGCTCCACCATACATGATAGTATGTGCCTCGTTCCATTAAGCATTCCCAACATTTTGACTCTCCCGCCTATTGAGTTCCTGCAAGCCCAGAGCCTATTTTCCACCATGCCAGGATCCAGACCCTCCTCCCCAACCACATCCCTCGTGGTGCCAGGACTGCATTTGTTGAGCAAAGTAGTCACTTTCCAGGGATTTTGAGCAGAGCCTCCCAGCACTGTGGTCCAGACTCACCAAGGATGCTGGACATTGCCAAGCTCCAGCCAGTGAGGTTAGGAGGACTGCTGACGTCACAATTAAGGCTGTGATTGGCCTGGACCTGAGATTTGAAAAATAATCATCAGCTGGCAAACGGGCCTTTTAATTGTTTAGCCAACTTTAAGGGGATTTTGCAAGTGAGCCCTGAATCTGCTAACCAGAGGTAGTCCATCTGAGTAGACAACTGTCAACTGACTAGACAGCTTGGGGAAGCAACGGATTTTGCCTTTTTTGCGGTTGAAGTCCAAATTAAAATGTTGTCCCTCGTATCAGCTACCAGACCTGGATGACATCTTCACATCTCACTGTTTAAGGAAGTTGCACAACATTCTCAGAGACTCTTCCCATCCTGCTTACAATCTTTATGAACTGTTGCCTTCTGGCAGAAGATACAGAACCATTAAAACTCGGGCCACACGTTCTCTGAATAGTTTTTATCCCAGAACTATAATTGCACTTCACAATGCTTAAGGACCACCGTCAGTGAGCTGTTGGACATTATTCTGTTGTGTGGATGCTTCTGTGTTTTAGAAGGTGGGGGATTTTCGCGGGTGGGGAGGTGTTTGAGGATTGCCATGTGTGTGTTCATGTTGAATCTGGTCTCTGGGTGTTATGTGAATTTTGTTGTATGTATACTGTGTATATACATACAATGACAATAAAGAATTCAATCAGTAATCTAGTCTTAGAGATCTAGAGAATCAAGGGTGGGGTGTTTCATTTTGTTTTTTGTAAATGCCCAAATGAATAGGAGCTGAAAGGGAAATATTCATTAGGATTCAATATTATCCATCTTAAAAAGACATTGTGAAGATGGTGCCTGAAGAAACACCTGCCCCTCCGCCTCCAGGGGCAGCCACACACCATCAGCCCAGGGGTGGGATTCTACCGGTTCAGACCGGTTCTATAGAACTGGTTGTTATGATTCTGCGCAATCCAGAGAACTGGAAAATCTTGCGGCTGGCTAGCCCTGCCCCGTTCCGCCCGCTCCTCCCAGTCAGTCCTTATCGTGCATGCACAACATTGTGTGCATGCCCGACATCGCTGATTAGGTTTCAGTCACTCCTTTAAATTATTTTTTATCCCTCCGCCTCCAGACCCTCAACTGTTCCTATGATCAGCTGTGCTGGGATTCCCCTTGCTGTCTTACTCCTTCACCCAGGCGGCTTCCCTGAAGCCCAGGAAAGCAAAACATGGAGGGAGAAGCACAGCAAACTCTGCACTCCATTTTCTGTTTGCTTTCCTGGGCCCCAGGGAAGCTTCCTGGAGCAAGCCACCCCCTAGGAGGCTTCCCTGAGGCCCCGAAGGCCCCCGCCCACAAAATGGAGGGGTGTGCTGCCCCCCCAAAAGCCACGCCTACTCAGTCACGTGGCCATGCCCACCTAGCCACGCCCACTGAACTGGTTGTGAAAAAAGTTGAATCCCACCCCCGGCAGCAGCCCCTCTGCCCACTTTTGAGTCACTGCCCCACTGCACTGCCAAACGGCCTTGCCCCCTTGGCAGAGAAGCCACAGCACGTAGCCGCCACCTGCAGCTGCTCTTTCAACCTCGGGGGGCACGGAGGACACGCTGCCCATGCAACAATGCAAATCGACTGCACAAACACACACACACACACACACACACACACAGAGCCGGCCTTCTTGCTCTCTCTTTAGCTGCCTTCAAATGAGGGCACCCTGCCCCTCCTCCCCCCAAATCTGCATTATCTCACCTTTCAACAATTCAAGTCCACCATCCTCAAGAAACTGTAGATTGGGCTGGGATGAGGCTGGAGCCAAGATGGGTGGATGGGTGGGTGGGAATATTGTTTGGGGACAATATATAGCAGGGATCTCCAACCTTGGCAATTTTAAGACTTGTGGACTTCAACTCCCAGAATTCTTAAAGTTGCCAAGTGTGATGACCCAAAAGGGGTGTGGCACAAAAGCAACAAAGTCACAAAAATAGGTAAAGTCCCTTTAATTCCTCCAATTTGGCCTCCAATGTCCAGTTATGATCAGCTGGAGAAAAAACTCTCCCAAGAACAGTTTTTAAAGGGAAGAAATTCTATCCAAACTCAAAGTACATATATAAATCATAAATAAAAACCAACACAAACCACGCTGCACAATTAACGAGACAGGACAGGATAAGGAATTGCAGACATCAAAAGATAACGAAATACACACACTTGGGAGGACGCCAGAACTCAGATAAGACTTGACAAACAAAGTTAATGCACGCTTTGCTTCCAGCAACTTTGCCATGCGCAGTTTGCCCTTTTAAACAGTCTTCCCAGCTGCAGCCCATGAAGGGGATCAGGGCCCTTTCCTTCCCTGTAAACCACACAACTCATGTTGCCCCCTTATCTGTTCCTTCCTGCATGCCCTAGGATGAAGAGGCGGGTAGGCCTGGGTCTTCCCCTGAATGCCCAGCTGGCCTGTGCCCTTCCCATATCCTCCAGCCACCGGAGCCATACGCCCACTCTCTGTCAGCTGTTCCACCTCTCCCTCAGAATCTGATTCCAATAGGGGCATGACACTAAGGTTGGAGACCCCTGACATATAGTACTGTTTGCTGTTACTATCATTTTGTTGGTATTTATATTTTATTGTAAGGCACTGACCCACCCAGGATGTTATACCCCAGACTGGTGTCCATTTCAGTCTCCTCAATAAATAAGATAAAAGAGAAGGTGTTACTTCTGTGTGATCTCCTGCTGAAAGACAAAGTCTGGGAGTTGAAGTCCACCAGGCTTAAAGTTGCCAAGTTTGGAGATCCCTGGTATGGGGCATAGACCATTTCAGACAAGAGACTGTCCAGCCTCTTCTTAAAGCCTCCAGTGTTGGAGCCCCCACAACTTCTGGTGGCAAGGTGTTCCACTGATTGATGGTTCTCACTGATAAGAAATTCCTCCTTAATTCCAGTTTGCTTCTCTCCTTGAGTAGTTTCCATCCGTTGCTTCTTGTCTTCTGGTGCTTTGGATTGGAAAATATCCACATCCACAGCTTTCTCATTCACATTCATCCAGAATACTAAGCCATGGTTAGGTTTACAGATTATGGTCTTGCAGTCCTTGAAGAACCACAAGCCATCCTATGGCTGGGAAGAGAATAGAATAAGAGTTGGAAGGGACCTTGGAGGTCTTCTAGTCCAACCCCCTGCTTAGGGTTAGGGTTAGGGTTAACCCTAACAAGTGGCGGTCCAGTCTCTTCTTGAAAGCTTCCAGTGATGAAGCTCCCACAACTTCTGAAGGCAAGGTCTGTTCCACTGGTTGATTGTTCTCACTGTCAGGAAGTTTCTTCTTAGTTCTAGGTTGCTTCTCTCCTTGAAGAGTTTCCATCCATTGCTTCTTGACCTGCCTTCTGGTGCTTTGGAGAATAGGTTGGAAACTCATCAAGGAGAGAAGCAACCTAGAACTAAGGAGAAATTTGCTAACAGTAAGAACAATCAACCAGCGAAACAGAAGTTGCCTTCAGAAGTTGTAGGTGCTCCAACCCTGGAAGCTTTCAAGAAGAGGCTGGACAACCATTTGTCTGAAATGGTGCAGGTTTTCCTGCTTAACAGGTATTTAACAGATAATCAGAGTTGGAAGGGACCTTGTAGGCCATCTCGTCCAACCCTCCACCCAAGCAGGAGACCCTACACCACTTCTGACAGATGGCAGTCCAGTCTCTTCTTGAAAGCCTCCAGGGATGAAGCTCCCACATCTTCCGAAGGCAACTTCTGTTCCACTGGTTAATTGCTCTCCCTGTCAAGGAAATTCCTCCTTATTTCTAGAATGAAAAGTTTCCATCCACCGTTCCGGAGAGCAGCGCGCGATCCCTTCCTAGCTGCGTCCTCCCCCGCCAGCGATCGGCCATCCCCGCGCCTTCCCGGGGGAGCTGGGCGTGCGAAGGCAGGGCGCGCATGCGCGTCTCCCTGCCGTCCGCGCTGCCCCACGGGCGGCCCTCTGCCCGCCACGCCGCTGCCGGCACTACATTTCCCGTCGCGCCGCGCGCTGGCCGGCCAGGCGGCCCAGCCGAGCCCCGAGCGAGCGAGGAAGGCAGGGAGGGGTCGGGCGGCGCCGCCCAGCCCCGCTCAGCCGAGCGCCGATGCGGCCGGGCCCGGCCCGCGAGGGGCGCCGCGGCGGGGATGGCGCTGTCGCGGGGGCTGCGGTGCTGCCAGCGGGTCTTCGGCTGGCTGCCCGTCCTCATCATCGTGCTGGTGGTGCTCTGGTCCTACTACGCCTACGTCGTCGAGCTCTGCCTGGGTAGGAGGAGGAGGAGGAGGAGGGCGCCGCGGGCGGGTGGGGGGGCTCGCGACCCATCGTCCCCAGCCTGGACGGAAGCGCTTTTCCCTCCCGCCCCCGCCCCCCCCCAGCGCTGCCGCTCCCATCCTCCCCAGCCGGGGCTCCCTCCTCGCACGGTGCTGCGCTACAGCTCCCCCGGGGGCTGGGGATGATGGGCACTGGAGTCCCAGGCTTCTGGGGACTCGTTGGGTTGCCAGGTGTGTTTGGTGGGGGGGGGCTAATTCCACCCCCGTCCAGCTCTTCCAAGGGGGGGAGGGCGTCGACGGGGTGGGTGGGCGCTGCCCTCTTGCTGAGCCTGGACAGGTCGCCCCTCCCTTCACAACCCCCCCAAATGTCCTGCCCTGGGGACCCCCCCCCCCGGATCCTCACCGAGCAAAGGGGTCCGGCCTTCTCCTCGCCTTGCAAACGAGGCTGGTGCTCGCCCAGCTGCCTTTTAAGTCGTCTCCGCCCGCCGGGTGGGCAAAATCGAGAAGGGAGCGAGGGGTGTTTTTTTTTAATGGGGATGGGTGCGGGGGTTTATCTCTCTGGGGCAGGGGGGTCCCCAAACCTGGCCACCTTTCTTTCTTTCTTTCTTTCTTTCTTTCTTTCTTTCTTTCTTTCTTTCTTTCTTGTTTATTTATTTATTTATTTTATTTGGTTTGTCAATTGCTTACAAGATAATAGGTGTAAGTAAAACCATAGTTATGAATACATGGATACATATAAGAAAAATAAAAGAAACAACAAGACAGGGACGGTAGGCATGTTGGTGCGCTTATGCACGCCCCCCTACAGGCCTCTTAGGAAAGGGGTGAGGTCAATAGTAGACAGTCTAAGGTTAAAGTTTTTGGGGTTTGGGGAATAAACCACAGAGTCAGGTAGAGTATTCCAGACATTGACCACTCTGTGGCTGAAGTCAGAGTGGTCATTTTAATCAAGATTGGAGCGGTTAAGCTTGAGCTTGTATCTATTCTTTGCTCTTGTTTTGTTGTGGTTGAAGCTGACAGGTAAGTCATTGCAATGTATGATTTTATATACCATACTTAAATCAGACTGAAGATGGCGTAATTCAAGGTTTTCTAGGTCTAGAATTTCAAGTCTGGTGGCATAAGGTCTTCTGCAACGAGTAGAGGAGTGGAGAACTCTCTTGTGAAATATTTCTGGACTTTCTCAACTCTGCTAATATCAGATACGTAATGTGTGTTCCAGACCGATGAGCTGTATTCAAGTATTGGTCTAGCAAATGTTTTGTAAGCTGTAGTTAGTAGTGTGATATTACCAGAGAAGAAGCTACGTAAGATTAGGTTAACAACTCTTAATGCCTTTTTGGCTGTGTAGTTACAGTGGGCTCCAGCACTTAGGTCATTAGAGATTACTATTCCAAGATCATTGACAGAGTTTGGATCATCAACAAGGTCTTGACTATTCAGCCTGTATTTTATTTTATTTTTTTTTTTTTTTTTGCCAATATGTAAGACAGAGCATTTGTTTGTTGAGATTTGAAATTGCCATTTGTTTGACCATTCTGATACATAGTCGAGGTCTTTTTGAAGGGTAGTATTGTCTGTGGTGTTGATTAGCTTTACATCAGCAATGAAGAGGACGCAGTTGCTCTTAATATGATCACAGAGGTCATTTATCTAGAGTATGAAAAGAGTTGGTCCTAGAACGCTGCCTTTGGGGACACCACTGTTGACAGGTACAGAATTTGATAGGACGCTCCCAATTTTGACCATTTGTTGTCTGTTTGACAGGAATGCTTCTATCCAGTTATGCAGGTGTCCACTTTTAAGACTTGTGGACTTCCAACTCCCAGAATTCTCCAGCTGATAAGAGTATATGATCATAGGGTTGGAAGGGACCTTGGAGGTCCTGTAGTCCAACCGCTGTTCAAGCCAGAGACCCTATACTGGGGGTCTCCAACCTTGGCCACTTTTAAGACATGTGGACTTCCAACTCCCAGAATTCCCCAGCCAGCAGAGCTCTGGGGCTTGCTTCCCCCACTAGAAGCAGGAAGAGGAGCTGGCGATCGGTCTAAAGAGCTTAAAGGGTGGGAATCATGAGCCTTTTATACATGCGTACATCCGGACTAGACTGTGGTGCTTCTCCACGTCCTGTTTGTGGGTAAATGCATATTTATTTATTTGATTTATTGATTTGATGGTCATGTTTATGTAGTGTATATCTGAGGTGGCGACCCTTTGAGAACTGCATGCAACGAAATTCCCTTTGAATGTATGCCAATTAGTGTACATTCCCAAAGTGACACTAAAGTTACTCTAAGTCTTTATGACTTGTTGAAGTCCACAAGACATAAAAGGGCCACGTTCTCCCCTCCCTTCTTGGCTTAAAGCCTCTCTGGGATCATTCAATTCGACGATGCTGCTCACCTGACCTTGTAACTTCCGCTTCCTTGAACCAACACAGGGGTTGTGCAGAGAGAACCAATATACACACAAAACCGGATTGCCCGGTTGGCGTATCAGGCTGCACTTAGTGCCTCCGATATGGTTTGGAGGAAGCGCTTCCAACGTCTTGTGAAAGCTGCACCTCAAAAGCAGCTCAGCTTTGTTTGTTGGTTTGTTTCCAGGAGAGCTTGGGGCGAAAAAAGGCGGCTGCTACTGCTTTAAAGCATCCCACTTACATTAAGGCACCGCTGCTCAAGCTCAGCAATTTTAAGCTCTGTGGACTTCAATTTCCAGAATTCCCCAGTCTGGCTGGAACCGAGTTGGTGGTATTTTGCAAAGTGCTGGCATTAGGGCCAAAGCATTTCTTCCCTGTTGTTTTCTGAAGTGCAGTTTGTTTAGGGTGGCGTATGAGCACAGGCAATCTGGGAGCTTTCTTACAACAATCTGCTAATGCAGCTCAGTGTAATTATAAAGAGCATTATACCGAGTGGGTGGATTAAATTTGATTAGAACTTTGTTAAAGCTACAGTACTTGGTGAATTTGGGGCAGGTTCCACTTGGTTCTTAGAAACTGGATTCTGCAGCATTTGGAAAGATTAAATCATGGCAACTGGACCAAAATTTATTAAACTGAGACGTTTCATTGCTCACCCAAGTAACTTCTACAGTCAAAATGACAAGTTAGGCAGAGAGTCGTTGGAATTAACTCTTGCCGTGCCAAATGCAGGGGCTTCTCCCCAAAATATATTGCAAATGTAAATGAAGACTCAATCATCCAGGCCAAAAGCATCTAAAAAGGTTAAATGATGGCAGCTGGACCAAAGTTTATTAAAACTTCTGGAGTCTGCAGTCTCTACTTTTAGATCTGACTGTGGGGTCCTTCAAGAGCCCTTCCTCCCTACGTTTCATCATTCAGGAGAGAAAAGATAGATACCCCTGACCCCTAATCCATTAGAAGCAAGTTCTCTAGCTGAGACATCTGCAACATAATTCCATCTTCTCTTGAGACTCATTCCTTTGCGTGACCTCCTAGATAGACTGGAGCAAAAATCAAAGTGGTGCTAAAGCTCTTAGTTTTAAAAAAATAGCTCACCCATTTACATAATGACCCTCCTAGGAGAATTGGGAGAGAAAGGAGACTGCAGAGACGGCTTGTCCCAGCAACCCGCCAAGTGCAGCCGAGGCCGGAAATCAAGGGTGGGTTTACTGGAGGGAGCTCTAAAGGTAGAAACATCCCTTTCTCTTCCAGACGTTGATGGTACCAGAGAAAACCAACAGTATCAACCATCCGTCAACCTTCATTTAAGGAGGGAACAGACTTGACTGTAAAACTGTTTCAAAGCAAGCGTGAGCCACTCCATTTACCTGGGAATTTAAAGCATCTGGTGGTTTGTTAATCCCATTGATTCAGTTAATTAAAACTGAGTTTGCAGATAGAAAATGGTTGAGTTTTAATTTGCCTCCAGGTCAGTCTTTCAGATTACATGTACAGGCACATACACACTGCCACAGAAAGGTTTGGCTTGCCATCCTGTTGGCAATGTGGGCAAGCCTGTGGTTTTCTTCAGGGTGGGGGGGTGTCTGCAGAGGGATTCTGCCTCTCGGCAGAAGTGACCCCTGTGATACTCCTGAGGGGTAAGACGAAGGTGCAGCAGTAAGATTGCCTCCCAGAAGATCTTGCATGAGGTGTAAGGACAAAAATGTATGTCAATGAAGTCCATCACATTCAGTGTTTTTAAAATATTGTAATCAATTAAATTTGTTAAAGAGATGCTGGCATCCAGGTTATTAAAGATGCTGGCCACTATTCTGTTCTGCTTAGTCCTTGGGGATCTTCTTCTCAGCCTAATGGTTGGGAGGAGAAGATGTGACCAAATCCACAATGAAAGAATCTGCAAGAAACAAAATATTTGTAAATGTACAGTGTTGTCTCCTTTTCTGGTTTAGAAGAAGGGTAAAGCCATTTTGCTTCAACTTGTTAGTGTATATATTGTGCTCACCTTCTTTTGAGGCGAGTAGGACTTTGAAAGCGGCTTTGATTGAGCATGGCAAGTGATTTTTGCAGTACTGCAGCTATGACACAGCCGGAAAAAAACAACAACAATTGGTTGTAGGCTGCTATCCCTCAGATGCTTCCCTTTTTTGGCCTGGAAAGATAAGCACTCTTGGAATGAATGGAAGCTCAGTCCAACTAAATGTGGGCAGGTGTGAATGTTGGTGTAAAAAGTGATTCACAGGTGAGCTTAAAGAAGCAGGCAGGCAAATGAGACGGAGCTAAGAAGGAGCAAAAGGTGGATGTCATCTATAGTTATTACTGCTATTCTTATTTATTAATATCCTATGCCAAGTATGGTAGCTAATTAAATCAACAGATGTAATCTTTTAAAAATCATCCAATTCAGATGGAAAAGACAGAAGGTCTTAACCTCATTCATAAAATTAGAAAAAGTGGAAGAGTAGAGTAGAACTTCCAAGGAAGGTTTTAGTAAATCTGCAGCAGATCAGCACCAGTTCCAAAGCCATTTATATTCTCCACAAAGCTCTCATCCTTTCCATGAATAAACTTGTTGAAAAAAAAAATCTTGCTTTAGTCTGGCAAGATTCTGTCTGTAGGCCAACAAGAAAGTAAGTACTCAGAAGTAACTCCACATGTCATTGTTTGGTTTTTGTGCCCTTTCAGTTATAAGGATAATAAAACAAGTGAATAAGTGACTATCAATGCAGTGGAATTAATAATACAATGATTTATGACCCATAAGGTGAAAATTAATTTCAGACACGGTCAGCATATATGTAATTGCAAGCATATTTCTTTGTGGAAACCATGATACGTCATTTGAAGATGTCCTTATTTTCTCTTTCAGTGACTCTGACGAACTCTGTAGAAAAAGGTAGGTGGATATTTATTATATCTGATCTTTATACTTCGTTCTGCTCTAGATGTCTTTGCAGTCACCTACTATGATAATCCTCTAGGATTATCCCAGAGAGATAGAAAGGACTCATTGATGGGAGTCTTCTACCCGAGGTGTGGTTGAGGCTCATAGAAATGCAAAATGTCCCCAGGCCCTGCCTGAAATAAGACCTTGGAAGCCCCCATCGCTTGTGGATGGATGGATGTAGGAGGATCTAAGTTGCACTCAACTAATTAAGGCAGAGGTTCTCCAAACTTGGCAACTTTAAGGCTTGTGGACTTCAACTCCCAGAAGTCTTAAAGTTGCCAAGTTTGGGGACCCCTGAATTAAGGGGACATGCAAGGGAGAAGCTGGGCCTTGGTGATCCAGTTTCAAATTGCTTGCTTAGCCAGGAAGTTTGAGTGAGTGATTGATTGATTATTTATTTATGAATTGTTTTGTTTTGTTTAATGTATTGGCTACCGTCTTACTGCAGGGTAGCTCTGGGCAGCTTACGCCAAAGTTCAGCTCCCCGTTTAGATTGAGACTCTAAGCAGTTGTGGGCTTGGGAAGGGGCTTAGATTTCTCTCCTCCATTGTCCGTTTCTTGATGGAATCCATCTCCTTCCCCTCCCTGCCCCCCCAGCAATTTGTGTTTGAAAGGGATCTCAAACCGTGCATTTCTTTTTTGTATCCCTGGCCAGTTGAAGAAATCATAATGTAGGGAGGAATGTATCTTGCTTCCTCGTGGGATGACCGTGTTTCCCCCCCGAAGCGTCTCACCTCCCTTCATAAGCATTTTTTCTTCTGTTCAATCATGTCTGATTCCTGGAGATTGCCTGCAGAAGTCTCTGCTATTTTCTTGGCAAGTTTTTTTTCCCCCAGAAATGGTTTTCCATGGCCTCCTGTGTTGGGCTGAGAGAAAGTGACTAGCCCAGCTGATTGGGGGCCTAAGGTAGGAGTAGGACCCATGTCCTTCCCTTTCCTAGCCCGAGGACTTCACTATTGTTGCTTGGAATCACGTGATGGGCGGCATATAAATTCAAATAAATAAAATAAACCCATACTCCACATTGATCCTTCCAGTCTTAAGCATAGAGGCGCTTTGAGAGAAGCTGCCTGTTGTGAAAGTCAAGGATATTATTAACGGATTAGGAGCAAAAAGGGCATTTCTGCTTCCTTGGTTAATACTTTCCTTCTTCTTCTTTAGTGGCCTACCTCACCGTATTCCATATCATCTTTGTATTCTTCATATGGACGTATTGGATGTCTATATTTACTCCTCCACTTCAACCGGACAAAAAGGTAAAAAAACTCTGGACTTTTATAAAAGGAATTAACCGATCTTCCCCCACCTGGGTGCCTTCCAGAAGTGTGACCTTCAACCCCCAAATTAGAGTTGATTCAGATGTCTGGAGAGAATGTAGTCTGGAGGGAGAAGGCTGAAATAAAGAGAGAAGCTAGAACAGAAATGGTGTGGACACCCTCAAGAATAAATAGGCCGTGTCATCATAACTGTAGATCTGCTCTCACGGTCAGAAAGCAAGTGGATCAGTCTGGGGGCAGTTACAATTACAGTGGTACCTCGGTACTCATCATTAATTGGTTCCAGGAGGTGCTATGAGTACTAAAAATAATGAGTACCAGATAGGTTTTTCCCATAAGAAATAATGTAGCGAATCAGAAGGTAGCCAACACTGACAATGCATCGAATACCAAACAAACAATGAGTACCGGGACAAAAATGCTCATGTCAAAATGGGTTGACTACCAAATTCAATGAGCTTCAAAGCAGTTGAGTGCCGCCACTGTGTAAAGCATGGGGGGCTAGATCCTGAGATAAATCAAATATAAATCAATTGGGGTCTTTGGCCAGCCTTTACATTAAAAAGAGAGAAATAGTTTAAGACAGCAATTTGTTATTGAGGAAGGGAAAAAATAATAGGACAATAAAACATATCTAATTAAAAAATTCTATGCGACTGTATTACTTAGTGCAGGTGTTTGGCCACCTGATACATGGGTATGGGGTTAGCATCTCTTTAAAAAAATTATAAACACGAACAGTCTTGTATTGGGAGATGCTTGGGGTGATCAGAGCAGGTCTGGGGGGGTCATAGAAAGGGCACCACATGAGGGCAGGAGGGAGAGTTTCTACTCCCCAGATCCACAGGGGCAAAGTCTCTGTGAATAAGAAGTTTGTGAAATCTTCCCCACCAGGAGAGCTGATGGGAGGGCAGAAATAATCATAAGGGCTTCAGTTTTTGCTATATTTTAATTGTGAAATCAGCCATCTTGGTGGCATGGTGGTGCAGTGGTTAGAATGTAGTATTGCAGGCTGAGTCACTGCTCACTGCCAGGGGTTCAATCCTGACCGGCTCCAGGTTGACTCAGCCTTCCATCTTTCTGAGGTTGGTAAAATGAGGACCCAGATTGCAGGGGGCAAGAGGCTGACTCTTTAAACCGCTTCGAGACTTTAAAAGTAAAGCGCTGTGAAGCGGTATCTAAGTCTAAGTGCCATCTGGGTAACAAAAGGAGGAGCTGCCTGGTGGACACCAATAATTGGCCTTTCACGAGATTCTAGCTGAGGGAAGTGGGCAGAGAAGTTGAATGTGTTCCTACTCACCAGTGGTGGGATTCAAAACTTTTTACTACCGGTTCTCTGGGCCTGGCTTGGTGGGTGTGGTTTGGTGGGTGTGGCCACATGACTGGGTGGGCATGGCCTTTTTTTTTTGCAGCGACCCCACCCCCACCCTTTTGGGGGGGCCTTCTGGGCCTTAGGCAAGCCTCCTGGGGGGCCATTTTTGCTCCCAGAAGTTTCCCCTGGGGCTCAGGAAGGCAAGAGAGGGGGGCGTTCACCCCTCCATTTTTTGCCTTCCTGGGCCTCAGGTGACCCTCCTGGGGGAAGCAGTAACCCAGCTAGGGAAATCCTGGCACAGCTGATCGTATGAACAGTTGATTGTTGGGAGGAAAAAAAAAGAAAAGAAATACCTTAAGGGGCGAGTGTCAGGCGGGCGGGGCAAACGAGCCAGTGGCGACTAGGCGATCGGGACGGGGGCGTGGCCAGCCAGAGCTTACTACGGGTTCAGCGACCCTTGCCAAATCCTTGCTACTGGTTCGCTTGAACCGGTTCAAACTGGCTGAATACCATCACTGCTACTCACTCTTCTCACCTGACGCTGAATCTTCATTTATTATGTTGCCTGGTGTTCTCTGTCAGTGATGGAAGGTGGCTTCTTTTTTGGACACCTGAAGCCCACCTGTGCCTCTGGCCACCTCCATTCCTAATGTCAGACTTGCCACCACTTGAACCTCGAAGTAGGTGAACAACAATCCTTGGCTCCATTTGTTGAGAAAAGGTATACTTTTATTTAGAAGTCAAGCGTATAGCGGAACTGAGAATCGTGGGCCAAAAAATCCCTTTGTTCAACTTTTCCCTCCCTTAACTCCCCCCCCCCCGCCGCCTCCCCCCCCCCCCCCCAGGACCGATCAGGTTCAGGCAAGATGTTTCTGGAGTGGCCACTTCAAAGGCCGCCGGCTCAGGAATTCTGGGGACTGAAGTCCCCAGGTCATAAAGAGGCCCCTGTTCTACAACTGTGTGTGTTCCCCTCGTTTTCTCCTACTTCCAGTTCCACATGTCATATGCCGACAAGGAGCGCTATGAGAACGAAGAAAGGCCCGAGGGCCAAAGGCAGATCCTCCTAGAGATGGCCCGGAAGTTGCCAGTTTGCACAAGAACAGGGAATGGCGGTGAGTTTCCAAGTTGGTTTGGGCAAGCAACCCAGACTGACACCCCCCCACCCCCCCATTTTGTGGGGGAACTTTGGGCGAGACGAAGAGCATCATCAAAACCAGTGATGACAAAATGTCTGGCTTTTGTATTTAAAGGCGAAGGACCGATAAGGCCAGGGGTGGGCAACTATGGCCCTTTTATGACTTGTGGACTTCAACTCCCAGAATTCCTGAGCAAGCCATGCTAGCTCGGGAATTTTGGGAGTCGAAGTCCACAAGTCATAAAGGGGCCATAGTTGCCCACCTCTGGATAAGGCATTCATTCATTCATTCATTCCAGCTCTTAAAACCAAAATGCAGGCCTTGTGACATCATTACAACCTTTTCCCTGGCAGATTTTAGCATTTTCACCTCAGCTGAAATCTACACTGTGATTTCTAGATGCCAGTTGGGATTGTAAAACTGGAGGTGGGGTGAATTCAGATCTGGGGAAATAGCCCCTTCTGGCTGCTAATTCTGCAAGCTCTAATCCAAAATATATCTGGAGGGCACAAGATTGAGAAAAGCTGACCTAATTATTGCTCCTCCCCCCCACATGGAATGTAAAGGTGTCCCCTATTGAATGCACTGGGTTTGTTTTTTTTTCTGATTCTTGTTCCTGATTTCACAGGAGTGGATGATGAATAGCAGTGTTCATATCCAGGATGAGCATGCTACAGTTCAGTGGTAAATTTATGGAAAATCAGCATCATAATTTGCCATTTGTATTCAGCAGGGACTAATAAATCATCAGAGAAGCTTTATATAAAATATATGATAGAAGCCCCTGAAAAGCTTGGCCAGAAAAGTTGGAGGAATTGGACTCACTCCGATATGGGAAATTGACCAAGCATCCTAGAAAAAGGAAGCATTAAATAACTTCTGTCGTCAAGAAAGGACTTTGTCCATAAAGTCATCAGTTCAGCTGGAATGAATCACGTGTCCCTACACCATAATCTCTCTCCCGTAGCATTCAGCCACCTAGGAAGTAGTTTTATATAAGGCATCGCCTATCTTCAAAATAGCCCTCAAATCTTGCCTTAGTCCTACGTTTCTCAAAGTTGGCAGCTTTAAGATGTATGGACTTCAACTCCCAGAATTCCCCATGCTAGCTGGGAATTCTGGGAGTTGAAGTTTACACACCTTAAAAACGTTGCCAAGGTTGCAAAAGATGCCTTGGTCTTTCTAGGAACAAGTTTATGAGACAGAATTTGCACTCGTGATGATGATTAATTGGGGGCATTTTTGTTGTGTTCTTTCCAGCCATTCGATTCTGTGACAGATGTCAGCTCATCAAACCTGACCGTTGTCACCATTGCTCAGTTTGCGCTGTGTAAGTTTACTCTTTTCATCCATAACCAATGCAGCTTGAAGGTTAGCTCAACACTTACACAGGATGCTGTTGGCTGGACGCCTAGAAAGAAATAGTTTTGCTTGCTTTAGCTGTGGTGGCGCAGTGATTAGGGTGCAGGACTGCAAGCTACTTCTGCTGCCTGCAATTCAGCAGTTCGAATCTCACCAGGCTCAAGGTTGATTCAGCCTTCCATATCTCCAAGGTGGGTAAAACGAGGACCCAGAAAGAGGCTGACTCTGTAAATCGCATAGAGACCAGGGCTGCAAAGGACTGTGAAGCGGTATATAAGTCTTAAGTGTTATTGCTCTTGATTGCACAACTTGACCTATATCAATTCCCACCCCACCCCAGGGACCTGTCCTCTGTCTGTGTATCCGTCTGTCCTGCCTCCCTTCTCTCATCTCTCTCTCATCCATCCATCCACCCATCCATTTCTATCATTTCTCTCTCTCTCCCCGCCCCACCTATCAACCTTTGTGCACACATACTCTGAAGATTTTAATTACAACAGTAAAAGCAAATATAAACTAAACTCAGAGGGAGAGAAAGTATAAAGAAAAAAATAAGTACAAAAAAGAAAGAGAAAAGAGATAAAAGAAATGCATGAAGCACTGACTTTGGCTGTATTAGAAATCATTAATGTCATGTATTGCTAAGTTAACTTTTTAAATTTCCATACAATTCAAGGAAGAGGACTTAAAATAAAAAGAAAGAACAGAGAGAGAGAAGGGGAGAAGCTATGTTGGCTAAACGTTCCAGTGTTATTCTTACCTTGGAGATTTTTCAGGGTTAAAAGGTATAGTTGGACAGCCTGTTTATAATGAAATGCATTGGAGCAATGAAGCGATCTCTTTTCTCTTTTTGAAAACGACAAAGGCCATCCGTGAGTTGGATCTGGCTTTGGCTGACTGACTGGAAGGCAGGGCTCGTTTGCAAGAGGACAGGCAAAAAACATGGTCATCGGCTGGGTTGTGCCTTGACTTGTTAGCTGATGTTAGCACGGATGCAAAGTTAATGACATGCCAGCTTGCGAGGGTTGCCAAATTACAGGTTTGGTTTCATTTGCCTGAAATAGGAAGCAGTTTGTTCTTTCCCAGGAGCAAAACGCCAGTCACTGTGATGGGCGAGGAATGTGTACAAAGAGAGCTTTATGCCACAAATCCCCTGGGAGCTCTCATATAGGTGGTGTCTGCTGCCAGGTTCACCAGTTTGAGCCTCCTAATCTATCAGAAATGGTGTAGGGTCTCCTGCTTGGGTAGCGGGTTGGACTAGATGACCTACAAGGTCCCTTCCAACTCTGTTTAATCTGTAATGTCTGCCAGCCTTGCCAGGTAGAGCAGAGAGGAAACACGAATAGATAAGCGAATTCTACTTTATTGTACAGCTGCATTAACAGAATCTTGCAAGTCTGAAAGGACAATTCTCCTGCTGTTACTTTTATACAGGCAGCCCTTGACTTAAAAACAGTTCATTTAGTGACCGGTCAACGTTACAACGGCACTGATGACTTATAACTGTTTTTCACACTTAATGACTGTTGTAGCATCCCCATGGTCATCTGGTGCTTGACGACTGACTCATATTTATGACAGTTGCTGTGTCCCGGGGTCATGGGATCCCCTTTTGAGACCTTCTGATGAGTAAAGTCAATTAGTAACAGCCATGTAACAATTAGTCAATTAGTAACAGTAACATTTAAGAACTGCAGAGTTTCACTTAACAAATGGGACCAGAAAAGTTGTAAAATGGGGCAAAACTCCTTAGCAAATTTCTCACTTAACACCTGGAATTTAGTCTCTTAATATAAGGATGGTCCTTTCTGAGCCTGTTTCCCCATCCATTATGCAGCTGTGAGACCCTCCTTATGTTAACAGACTACCACAATTGAGCCCAAAATTGTGGGTTCTCTGAGGTGGATCTCTTCACCCAATCTTCACCCAGGCTCATTCAGGCTGTCAGGATTCCAGCAATTGCCCTAATTAAATCATGATTCTCAAGCCAAACTTCAAAACGCTTCAAAGGATTCATTAGAGGCAACATACTGGCCCTGCCCCGTATGAAGCCAACTCTGGCCTACGTAATTCACAGTCCCCTGTGACCCTGTTTCCCCTCACTTCCCCCCTGGGTGTCTCATAAATCAGACTCTCCAGTTGAGCACCTTCACAGGCTGGGTGTCATCATTCACGTTCTCCAATTAAATATATTCCCGGGCAAAAGCTCTGGTAGTTCAGTTACAGTCTTTTAAAGAGAAGAGTTGGAATGTACTTTCGCTTCCAAACTGCTGCACTGCTCTTCCAGATTTCCTCCCACCCTCTTTTTTTTATGGCAACTACTAAAACAGGCACAGGAATGTTTGATGAGTTGGCACAGGCATCCTGTCACTTGTCCCTAGGTGAGACTCTGGTCCTGCCTCTCATTTGCAGAAGATCTTCCGGGTCTTAGTCAAATTATTGAGTGAGAAAATGCTGGAAACCTACCCACATTTCGATGAGTAAGACGACTATTAGGATATTATCCTGCTGTGTTGGCCAGTCAGAAGGCAGATTCCCCCATCTCACCCCAAGCCAAGCCAAGCCAACCCAACCCAACTGTGAATTGGCAGTGGGATTGTTGGGCTGAGAAACGCAGAGGACAGGAGAAACGGTGATGTTCGAAGGACCACAGGCAAGGTTGACTCTCTTTGAAAAATTAGCCTAATGTTGGGCTTTTGCTTAGGAAATGTTTGGGTTCCCTGATGAAATTGACCCCCTTGCAACACCCAGAGGGCCCTCTTCCCTGTTCATCCTGCCTCGTCATCTTTTGCGATTTTATAAACAAGCCGTCTACTTTTGCAGACACGTAATTTCAGTTATTATTATTACAGCCTTGTTTTTGTCCAGCACCTTCTTTTTAGCTGTGTTGCTTCTGGCAGGGAGGTTCAGGTAGAGAGAGAAATATATACTTGTTGGGGAGGGCAAAATCTCCAGGCTGACTTTGAACTGAAGGTGGCAACAGTTAACAAAGAAAATGGATGTGCTTGGCGTTGCATAGAATTTTTGTGGTAGTTTGTTTTTATCTGTAGGTTATTGAGGGAGTATTAAAGTAGAGTAGAGTTAGAATAGAAATAGAAATAGATTAGAATAGAATAGAATAGAATAGAATAGAATAGAATAGAATAGAATAGAATAGAATAGAATAGAATAGAATAGAATAGAGAATATACTTTATTGGCCAAGTGTGATTGGAATTTGTCTCTAAGCTCTCAGTGTACATATCAGCAACAAAGTGATAGATCATATATCATATACATCGCAGATATAATCATTAATCATAATATACAACAATATGATAAATCATAGATAGGAGGTAGTAGAGAAGATAGGGAAGATAATATCAATACAGCCCTACTACATGGGTAAATGAAGTTTATATTTTCACTGTCGGCAATGTTTGCCTGATACCCGGAGCAATTTTCTGCAAAGCTTTAAATCTAAACAAACACCTGATTCATTCAACTGCTGGTAGCAAACACAGAATCCCTTTTTCAAAGGATAATCAAGACCTCAGAAACCGCAACCGTGCCCTGTGATGTACGTGCAATAACAGAAACACAAGGGGGCATCATGACCAAAGAGACTTCCTGGGAAATGAAATTGCAACCTGGAAATTTTATCGTTCACTAATAAATGACATCACCCTTAAAAAAAAAAAAAGCAGAATCCTGGATCTAGACAAGAACAAAGTCTGTGGTTTCTACTTCTTTTCTGTGGTTCCTGACATTTTTTGTCTTTTTTTTAATAGATGTGTGTTAAAAATGGACCATCACTGCCCATGGTAAGGACTTTTGACCACCATTTCATAAATCCATCCCATAAACATTGAAGTGTTTCAGGGACAGAAGTATATCAATTTCTGAAATTGACCGGCTCATTCCACCAACACTGCTTAAAATTCAGAACTCCAACTTTGGTTCTGCTACTCCAATAAACATTCATGCGAAACAGTGCGCGCCCCAAATTGTTATGCATAGAAAAGTATGGGAAAAAATGTGCCATGAATCCATTGTGCACCATGCATGCGAAATGGCATTCTTGATGCAACACCTTGCATCCTTTCACCATTGACTTGGGAAATATTGACCCAATGCATTTGCGCTTTTGAACTACCTGCCAGAAGAAAACGGAACATCACACTGGTGGGGTTACACTATTTCTGTTTCTGCTACTCAGAAAGAAGGACTGGGTGTTATATCTCAAGTATAAAAGCGCATTATTAATTCTTGTCCATCCCAAATCTGGAAAGGAGATTCAGAATCTCATATTCTATTAACAGGAATTCTCATTGTGCCTCTCTTGGGTGCAGGTTCTCCTTACCTTGGTATATTTCCCCCAATATGTTTTGGGGGAATTCCACCAATGCATAGTAAATGGAACCATGCAATTGTGCCAGGTGTGTTCCAACTACCTGGCTTTATTTCTTTGACCTTACTCTCCACAAAAATGGAGACACAGAAGTAAGTTTGAACTAGCAGGTTTTTTTTAAAAAAAATAGAAAAAACAATCTAAAATATGCCAAAGAGGACTATCATAGACTTGGGCGTTGTTATGAAGAGAAAATAGCATTTTCATGCATTGGTTTTTTAGGTTTGAATTTTAGGGCGATTTTTCTCAACTTTAGCAACTTTAAGATGTGTGGACTTCAACTCCCAGAATTCCCCAGCCAGCAAAGTTGAGAAACACTGCCATAGAGCTAAGCAAGATCTGCCTCTCAAATATTGTTCATTCTCTGGAGCTTGGCAGAAAGTTATGATTCTAAAGCCATGTCTGTCGACCTTGGCAAATACAAAATGTGTGTACTGCAATTCCCCAGAACGCTGGGAGTTCTGGGAGTTTGGAAATCCACACATGTTAAAAGTTGCTAAGGTTGAGAAACACAGATTTAGAGATTTCAGATGCTTTCCAAGTTGGAGAGAGTTACAATAAGAAAAAATGTAGTTATATGAATGACTAGATTAAACATGCAGCAAGAATTACTCGATGAAGGCTGGAATGAAATGAATATTTACAAATTACTGGAAGGAGAAAAGCAGATCTTAATCATGAAAAAGGGACATGAAGAAGAAAAAAATTAAACACTTGTATATAAGCTGGACACTCTAGCCCTGGTCTCTGTGCAGTGATACAGAAATTAAAATTATGTTTGAGTCTTTCATTTTTGGACACTTCATATCCAGGAGGAAGAAGAATCCAAAGCCTTATTAGGGAAGACAATTGCTATCCCGGTTTTCTTAAGCAAGGGCTAAAATGCAGTAAAACAAAGATGTCAGACTAACCGTACCCCAATTTGGAGGGCAATATAAGCCTTGATCTGAAGTCAAGTGGGGGGGGGCTGGAGGGAAGGAGGGCATTAGGTGGGCTGGGACTGTCCCCATGGACTGGGGTGCGCGGGGACTCTTCGCTGGGCTGGAGGTGGACATTTGGCTGCACCAGAATCCCGAGTGCTCATTGCTGATTTTGCTTTTCATAGCATCGTTTCTCCAAATGTATTTTGATTCCACCTTCCTTCCTTACTGTCGCCACTTTTCTCCTCCAGGGTGAACAACTGCATCGGCTTTTCTAACTACAAGTTCTTCCTACTGTTTTTAGCCTATTCTCTGTTGTACTGCACGTTTATTGCAACGACGGTCTTCAAGTATTTCATCAAATTCTGGACAGTAAGTTGGGGAGTCTGGCCACCGCTTACTTTCTGCATGTCCCTGGAGGCTGAAACCTTCTGGGGGTCAAAACCAGTCCCGGGGTGGCGGGGGGGTGGAAACACACCTCTTTCTGAACAGAAGAAAGTTGCCATTGTACAAGGCATTATTACAATCCTAATCTTTCAAAACTGGGGAAGTTCATTTCTATTTCACGCTAGTGTCCTTCCATTTATCATTAAAACATATAATAATGGATCATATTCCCCTCTCCTTCAGCTGTTTGGTCTTGCAGGCTGTATCGGTATTACAGAATTGGAAGGGACTTTGGAGGTCTTCTAGTCCAGCGGTCTCCAACCTTGGCAGCTTTAAGACTTTAAGAATATGGAAGAGTAGAGTAGAGTAGAAAAGAATAGAATGGAATGAAATAGAATAGAATAGAGAATAGAGTAGAGAATAGAGTAGAATATAGAAGAGTAGAGTAGAAAAGAATGGAATGGAATGGAATGGAATGGAATGGAATAGAATGCAGAAAACGAACAGAATAGATATTGGAATGAAGAGAGTAGAATAGAGTAGAATATAGAAGAGTAGAAAAAAATAGAGGAATGGAATGGAATGGAATGGAATGGAATAGAATAGAATAGAATAGAATAGAATAGAATAGAATAGAATAGAATAGAATAGAATAGAATAGGGCTGGTAGGGGCATTCCCTGGTCCTCCAAGGTCTGCCCAAGCCAGACTTGCAAATAAAGGACACGCCCATCTGTTTCGACCCTCCTACTTTCTCCCGCTTTTCTTTGCAGGTGGAGCCCACCAGTGGCCATTCCAGGTTCCACGTCCTCTTCCTTCTTTTTGTGGCAGTCATGTTTTGGGTCAGTCTGTTGTTCCTCTTTGGCTACCACTGCTGGCTCGTCAGTCAGAACAGATCGACTCTAGGTAAGGCGTTCACCGCTTCGGAAGGAAAGCTATGGGCGAGGCAGATTTGTGCCACAGCCCATTTTGGGGCGACCGAAAGCACGGATACACTTTCCAGAATCCAAGAATGGGATCCTGGAACCCTTGTGCACACATCTTTGGATTACTATTTGTTGGTTATTCATAGAATCACAGGGTCAGAAGGGATTTGGGGGGTCTTTTAGCCCAGCCAAGACGCCGAGGACATGAAACCCCCCCAGTGACGGAGCCTCCATGAACCCAGGAGGCCAATAGTCCCACAGACAAAGAGCTCTCACGGTCCAGAACCGAGGTTCTCAATCTCAACAACTTTTAAGATGTGTGGACTTGCAACTCCCAGAATTCCCCAGGGCTGCTTGAAGTTGTTAAGGTTGAGAAACATTGGTCAAAAACTCCTCCTTAATTCATCTTGTTCTTATTCCGCTAATATTTTTGTTTATGAAAAGGCATTTCCCAATTTTTTTATTACAATTAGGCAACTTAAGACCTGTTGGACCATCCTCATATCAACCTACAAATATTCTCCTTTATTAGTACCAATGGAACAGCTTGACTTCAGATGTTGTGGAGACAGGACAACCATTTGTCGGAAATGGCGTAGGGCAGTGGTGGCTAACCTTTTTGGGCTCCTGTGCCAAAAAAATGTGCGTGCGCTTGCACACTCGCACTCGCATGCCAGCACCCAGAAGGCAATGCCCCCCCACATCCCGTATGCATGCACACGCAATCCCCACCCACCCTGCCGCCCCCTTACCTGGACTGCACCTCACACCTGATTTTCGGCCTGTCTGAGGAAGGCTTCTGCAGGCTTTGCAGGCCGAAAACTAGCCCTGTTTCGTCATGTCCGGTATTTCCGGAAAAATAGGAAGTGATGAAACGGGCCTAGTTTTCGGCTTTCAAAGCCTGCAGAAGCCTTCCTCAAGCCTTTGGGAGGCCGAAAAAGGCCTCAAACCAGCCGAAAATCAGCTGTGAGGTGCGCGCATGCCCAGTGAGGTAAGTTTGCCTGCAGCTCACATGCCGGCACAAATGGCTCTGTGTGCCACCTGTGCCACGCGTGTCATAGGTTCGCCATCACGGCTATAGGATCTCCTGCTCAAGTAGAGGGTTGGACTAGAAGACCTTCAAGATCCCTTCCAAATCTATTGTTCTATGTTCCTGATCCTCCTTACCTTCAGTAGCCTGACATCTTAAAACGCGAGGTTGTCGAAACCCTGGCTCAGATTCCAGTTTGCTTGCTCGCCTCCCCTGGGCTGAAACCGCAGGAGGGTTGGAGGTGGCGACTGATTTCTAGCAGGTGCAGCCCCCCCCCCCCCCAAAAAAACCCCCTCTCTTATCGGGGTCCGCTTTCCAGCGCCTGAAACCGCCTTCTCTTTTGCTGCAGAGGCTTTCTCGGCTCCCGTGTTCTCCAGCGGCCCTGATAAAAACGGCTTCAACCTCGGCTTGGCCAGGAATTTCCAGCAGGTATTTGGGGAAGAGAAGAGACTCTGGTTATTCCCGGTGAAGTCCAGGTAAGTAGAAAGCGACCCACCCGCCAGCTGTGGAGATAGAATTCGAGTTCCCCTTCCCCCCCCCTCTCCCTTCGCCACAGAGGGAGGTTTGGGCCTGTGCAGGTGGGAGAGAACCCCCTCCCCCGCCCCCGAAGCTGTGGGCCAGCAGAAACCTGTCTGGGTGCTCTGCAAATCCGCCTTTTGATTTATAAAAAGAGCCAGAGAGAAGCTGGTTTGCTGCCCGGCTCTGCCATTTGCCATTTGCCTTTTCCTTCTCTCTGGGGTCCCCTCCCCCTCACCTCCGTGCCGCCTTTCTCTCCACAGCCAGGGAGATGGACACTCCTTCCCCATCCGAGCCCAGAGCGAAGCCCGGAATCCCCTGCTGGCAAACGAGGAGCAGTGGGAGGAAGACGGGATGGAAGATGGCAACCAGCAGAGTAAGGGAGGGCCAGCCTCGGAGGGGCTGCCATTTGAAATGCAGGGGGGAGGGCGTTGGTGCAGAGAGGAGGAGGGGGCCGTCATGGGGAAGGGGCTTGGGGGGGGGGGCAAAGTGGAGAATTGAACACACGGATGAAAATGCTTCAAAACCCCATTGCGTGGGCCTCAAAGCAGCAGACTACGGGTGAAATTCTCTGTTTGCGTCTTTGTGTGTTGTGTTAGGATATAGGCAGAGTAACCCTTGTATAAAAAGGATATGCACAAGGAAAACGGTTTATGAAAACAGTTATGAAGAAATATACAGCCTCACAGAGTTGAACAAGTGGTATTAATGTTTACTTGAAGAAATAGCACAGTCCAATAAACGGTCCATGTCATACGTGTTTTTAACAGTCCAGAAATATCCAGTTATAAAATCTTCTTACCGGTTTCATGTCTTTTACAGCAGACAAACATCAAACCATAATACAGCCAATAACCTTCAATATCAACAGAATATCAAACTAAACAGGGTTAGTCAGTATCGGTCCGTGGTCAGTATCAAGAGAGATCATCAGTGAAAAAGAGAAAGAGAATTAAACCATGATCTATAGCTCCCTCTTATGCCAACTTGTAGCATAATTAACCAATCAGAACACAGCATCATACATTGCAGTATTCTTCCTTAAAGCTACAAACGTATATATGTGTAGTTTATATATTGTCAACCCAACTACGTTATTTACATATACATAACTTGTTGTCTGTGTGATGTTGCTGCAGATGTTGTGCTTTCCGATTTAGCTATCAAAAATAGAGGAGATTTCTCCTTTGGGTCCATTAAGTCAACCTTTCTCCGTCCCAGTGTTCCTCCTAGCTGGGGATTTCTGGGAATTGAAATCCACACTGTCAGTCCTGCCCCAACTTGGTCCCTTAAGCAAGAACGACCCTCGACTCCACTCGGTGTGAAAGGTTTACTTTACTAAAGGCCAAGTGGATTACAATACAGCAAAGCCAGGACTGGAGTTTGCGTGCCAAACTTCCCCAGCTAACTTTTCTCCGTTTGTCCCTTCCCATTGTTGATCCCTCATTGTCCAACCATAGTCAAATAAGATGTTGTGGGAAAGTAAGCGGTACGGAGGTACATGCCTTTCCCAGCTTTCTGACCTTGAAGTTGTGTCTCCAGGGATGATGAATCCTTAGCTTCCCCCCCGTCATCCAGCTCCCCCCCCCCCAATAATTCATGGCAGACTGGTAGCTAGCAAATGCAAAGCACAGGTATCAGGTTTCCAAGTGATGAAATCCATTCAAAAAGAAAGCAGCAAACGTTTATTTAGAATAGCATGAAATTGGCAAAGTCTGTTGTAATTCCGGATCTGACATAACCCGGAATTACACCACATAATATTGGAAGTTACCTCCAATAGAAGTAAATCAACATTGCCTGGTGTCATCAAACTCCACCTCCAGGTCTCAGCAGGGTCAGCTTTTGTTCCCACAGGAAGAAGCACCACATAGTCTAAACAACTGTCTCTATCTCCACTCCTCCCACCTTTGGAATGTGGCAAGCCCCAAACCCTTCCCCCCCCACCAATACCAGCAAAGAGAAAGAAAGAAAAGGGATATATAAGAAGGCTAAATAAAATGGCTACACGTATGTCAATTGCGGGCTTGACGGGTGGCAGTTTTGACACACAGATCTTAAAAGTTGTTAAGGTTGACAAACGCTGCTCTGTACCTTAAAAAAAAGAGAGAAAAAATGGGCACCAGACATCCAGAAGTGGGTGGGGCTCAGGGGGGAGGAAGAATCAGCAACCCTGGGCCAGTCGTTCTTATGCAGCCGAAACAGAGACGCCCTCCTTACGGCCCCTTCCTCATCATTGAGGCAGATTTAGGGAAGACTTGGAGACTAGCCCCTCCCATTGCATTCTGGGCCGGTTAGGTTTCAAGGGTAGCCCCATGTAGGGCGCTTTGCAGCAGTCAAGCTTTGAGTTGGCTTCCTGGAGCTATTCATTTAGTTTACATTTGACCTAGATACAAGCTGAATCTTCTGTGGGCCTACATACAAACATGGCACATACGTTACAAACCACAGCAGTCTTTTTCTCCCCCCATGACCGTGTTTTTTTCCCATGTTGTTCTTCCTGCAAAGGCTTTTGCAGATGTGCCCAGCGGTTCCAGCGTGGGGTCCCTTCTGCCTTTTACCCTTTGCTTGAAAAGCGGGGTTTTAGGAGATGAAGGGGGCTGCAATCAGTTATTTTAAAAAAGTTACTCCTGCTCTCTGCCTCCAACCCAAGGCCACGTTGTTTACCAATCAAGTCCTATTCAACAGGGGACTGGAGAGGTTGCCATCAAGATCCGATTGATTGCAGGATTAGGGAACAGCTTGTCTTCCACTTTGGGGTGGGGGTGGGGTGGGGGGAGTTAATGGCCCAGCACAGAAGCCTGGATGAAAGGGGAGCGAAGGGACCATTTCCCCAAGCTGTAAATCTCAACGGCATTTTTTGCAAAGTTTAAGGAAGGCAGGCCGAGTGTCTGCGTGCCCATACTTACCTAAATATGCATGCAAACTCAGACTCTGAAAGTTGTAAACCTCCTGGCTGCAGCCCTTGTGGGCCTTCCAACTATTTTCTGCCAGATTTCCTTTTGAGTGGTTTAAAAGGGAGCAGTTATGGCTTCCAGTTTGAAGTCTCTTCGGCGACAGACAGAAATCCGCGATCGTGCACGGTTTCTGTCTGGGCTCGCCGCTGGAGTACTTCGAGCCGGCTGGTTTCGGGGCTAAGCCACCCCGTAGAGGTGGGGAAGAGGGGGGAGACCGCCAGCAGGGTCGAGGAGAGCCGCATCTCTCCTCCTCAGCTGGCCATTGCTCCCTTTCCCGAAGGCGGTTGCAGCAGTGGTCAGAAATGGCCACCGCAAAGAAGAACTCGACCGGAAAAGAATGTGCAGGAGGAAGATAAGAAGTGAAAGTTTTGGCTGACCGGGTTAAATTGTAAAAGCAACAACCAAGGTACCCTGGAATTTAAACTTACAAAAATTAACATCGCTCCCAAAGAAAAGTCGGAAGCAGCAAAGGAAAGTGAAAAGGGAAAGGTTTGGATTTTTTTTACTTCTCTCCCCTTCCCTATACTGACAACTAAGAGACTTAAATAAGAAATCGGAAAAATCCGCTTTGACATCAACAAGCAATTAAGCTGAAAATAAAACAAAATGCCAGAGGGATAATAAAAATTTCTGGACACAATTTTTTTTTTCATAAGGAGGAAGGGAGAGAAAAAGAATAAGGGCAGGATCTGAAAGAGGGAGGAGACTGCCTGGAATTAAAAAGAATCGACAGTAAAATTTCAACAAGACTTCTAAAAGATATATTTTAACTGAAACTTTGTAACTAAACAGTAACCCCAGGAAGAGAAAGTGAAAAAAAAGAGCAAAAAGAAACAGCTTGCGTGTATTTGGATTATTTGATGATCTTTGGATTTTTGGTTGTTACATTTGAATGACTAAAATCAATCGGGTGGTTGTTTAAAAATTTATACAATGGCACCACTTCTGGATGAATTGAAAATGGAACTTAAAAAGTACAAAGAAGAGGCACAAGAAGGGAAGGGTTCTTTTGGCTTTGTTTTTCAATTCTTAGAAATGGAGATTTGGAACTATGAGAAACAACAAGAAAAGACTGCAAAACAAGAAGACTGGGACAAAGAAGAAGCCATCTTTAATGAACAAGTAATTCTGTGTGGGGGAGAAAAAGGAAAAGGGGGGAAAGAGAATGGAGAATTTAAGACTTAAAAAAACAACCAAAGAAAAGAAAAATAATTTGAAAAATAAGTATAATACTGGAAAGCAACAGAAAAGGGGAATACGGAAGAGAGAAATAGAGGTAGAGAGACAAGGGGGTAAAAAGGGGAGAGAGAAGAAGAAAGGGAAGAAGGAAAGGAAAAGAAGTTACAAAGACCGGAGCAAGATATACAGAAACAGGACCTATTTAGAGATAATGGGTGAAAACCTAGCTGAAAAAGGGATTCTGTAAAGGTACATAAGATTGTTTTTGTTATATTAGTAATAGAAATAACTTTAGAAAATTGGAAACAATGTATGATTAAAATGAGGGATAAAATAGTGTAATTTAGTGAAATGTTTGTGAATAAAATAAGTGAAATAAAATAAACGAGAAAACTGAATTAAGGAACGGGGAACATTTTAATTAGTTAATGTTTTATAAAATATAAGTGAAGAGGGGGGCAATTAATTATGGAAAGCTTATAATTGTTCCCATAGACGTATGATATTCAATTGAAAATTAATGTTAAAGAAGTTAAGATTTTAATGAATATTAATATCAATGATAGAATTGAATTGGAATGGAATGTGTTGTTTTAATTACATGCATTTATAATTTTTTCTTTTTTTAAGAATATAGTGTGTATTTTAAGAATGTACCAAGCAGAATCCGAATGGAAGTTACGTATTATATTGAATGTTATAACTTTAGGGTGTATATTGAAGCCTAAATAAGAGTTAAATAGATAAACTTAAAAGATATAAAGGCGTCATACTCCAATCAGGAGAAATTTTGTTTAATGAAAAAAGATAATAAATAATTGAAACAGGACAGATAAAAAATATAAATATAATGATTTGAATTGAGATGAGATAATTAAAATAAAATTGAGAAAATTAAAAGAGGGGAGAAGCTGTGCAGAAAATGTAAAACAGTAATAAGATATGGAATAAAACATAAAAATGAGCATGACATGAAGTTGAATTTGTGTCTGTACAAAGTAATGTAACCCGGGATTACACTACTTTCAAAAAAGATGTTTTATTTGTATTTTTTTACTTATGTGAAAACTCAAATAAAATTTACAAAAAAAAATTAAAATAAAATAAAAGGGAGCAGTTATTAAATATAAAATTGGGAAGTAATCGCAGTAATTGTACCGAATTCTAGTTGGATGCGAAGGACATGCCGTCTTCCTCTGTCTTTGTAGAGTGCAGTCCCCAGCAGGCCATTCCAAGCCAAATAGACCCCCACCACGACCAACCTCAACCTAGAAAAATGGCGCTCCACAACTCCACAAGGCGATGGCAGGAAGGGCAATCTCTGTCTTACTGAGTGGATGTGTTTTGTTTGTCTGTCCAGATTACCAGCAAGGGACTTCTCTTTCCATCGAAATGGAGACGTAGCAGCTTTGAAGAGCTGAGGCTGTGCAACTCGTGAGCTCTGGTAAGTGATTTCTTCTTCAGGTTAAAAAAATAAATAAAGCTTAGCCTTCCTCTTTCAGTTAATGTTTTCCCCCCCCATGAGATAGTTGATCTGGACGTTTTGCCTCCAGAAGTCACGGATGCTCCTTCGGTTTTCAAGAAAAGGTTGGACACCCATTTCTCTGGAATGGTCTAGGGTGGGACTAGAAGGCCTGGTCCAGTCCATTCCACTAACAAGGAGTGGAGCTCACCTAATGAGCCCAGAACTCACTTAACAACCACAATGATTCACTGAATAATCATGGCAGAAAAATTTGGAAAAACCGGGCTTGACTCACTTAACGATGCTTAGCAGTGGAAATTCTGGTCCCAATTATGGATCGTAAGTCGAGGACTACCTGTATTGCGCTCCTTAGTTTTGCAAAGGGGCGATCAAAGCGGTGGGCAAAAGTAAGGAATTTGGGGTCGTGTCATTTCTTTTCAAACTTAAAAGTTACAGCAAAGAGGAGAAAGAGGGGAAAGAGAAATGGTTCCTTTGGAAAACAGCATTCCAGGTCCAAGCCAAACCGATTGGCGCTTTCCTTTCCTTTGGAGTCTTTCCTCCCTAATTAAAAATTTCATTCCAGAACATCAAATAGCAGCTCCTGATGAACACCTTTCATCCTTCCTCCCTCTCCTTGCACCTGCTCTGATCTTGATCATTGTCAGCCCGTCTGCAGGTGTGGTTTCTTTTTATTTCAACGTACGCATGAAATGCAGGGCTGCCTAACGTCGTGTCGAGTTTGCTTCTTAGGAGTAGAATAGAAATGCTTTTAATTAGAATCATTCCTTTCTTTTCCTGCAACCCACTTCACTTCCTGCTTCCTCCCTGTCTCATTAGCTTCCTCTGGTGATGGAGACTCAAGAGGCATAAAAAAGGAAAAAGGCAGCACTTGGACCAGAAATGGAAAAACAGCATTGGAGGCTAATTCTCGCTTTCTGAAACGCTTCTGGAGGAAACTGTCCTTGGGGGACACTTCCAAGGTTTGCTACACATTATGGATTATTATTATTATTTTTTCTAACATGGCAGCTCTGAAGTGATTAAGGCTATTCGTGACCTTTTCTTTTTTGTACGTCTTACCCAGAAGAAGGGAAAACTGCTTAGTGCAAATGCATCTCCAAGTGCCTTAAGGGGCATTTAGCTAACCGCCTGGACTGCGCGTTGTCGCGTTTTGCCAAATAGGAAGAACAGCTCTGTGAAACGGTGGAGACGGACAGTTAAGCAGACGGCTCAAAACAGGAATCATGGCTGCCAAATCAAGCCTGTCTTCTAGAGAACGGGGCGAACATGCGCTGCTTCTGTGGCCCTAGGAAACCTCCCACACCCTCGGGCCCCAAACATACTCCGCCTCAACTCTGATTTTGCTAAAACGTCCGTCTCTTTTGAGTTGTCCTTTCTGATGTAAGCACAATCCTCGTTTGTAGGTACCTCCGATTGTCCGAAATTCATCCAGAACAGCTTCAGCTACTGGATTAGTTTCTGCTACGAAAAAACAGAACAAAAACCTTGTCTCTGAATTGCACAACAATGACCCCGGAGGCTCATGTGGCTCTGGGCCTCTTTAGGCAAGAAGTTGCCTCCCTGACACAAAAGCCTGCCTGCCAGAGGGGAGAGAAAGCCTGGCCCCTGGCTTTGCATGGAGGAGAGGCCTTGCTTGGAGCCAGGCCAGCCTCACTTCGCGGACTTTTAAACCCTTTGCATAATCTGATCAGGAATAAGGTTTGCGTCTCTCCGTCGTTTTCATTCGTTTTTCCCAAACGCCTAAAGAAACTCTCGTGGATAGAGAAGTCCAAAAAGCTGCGCTTCCTCCTGCTCCTTTAACGTGAGCGCTTGGTGACCGGATGTTGCAAGGAGAGGTTTTGATCCAAGTGGGATTCCCTCCCCCCCTCCCCCAGGAGGTTTTCTTTTTCAGGCTTTTCAGCGACTGTTCAGAAATAGGTTCTGATCTTCTCTCTTTAGAACTTTGAAAAAAAACACCCAGCCCAGCACCCTCATAGGAGATCATTGGAAATAGGACATCAACCATTTTGTTCAACGGGATCAGGGAGCTGGGCTGGGGCTGGAGCTAAACCAACTTCCCCCAGTGCCAAGATGGCGCCACCCAACCGGGCAGCCGCCTCTCTCTGTTTATGCTACATTTCGCCTCCCTGCCCACCCCCTGCAGCCACGCAAGCGGATGAAAGAGAGAGCAACGGTTGGACTCTCTCAATGTAAGCCCATTCCAGTCCTGCCTGGGGTAGTTCCTCCACCCCACTGGGGCCATCAGATCATTTTTTAAAAAGAAGACTTTTTTAAAAAAATTCTGCAGTTGGACGAGGCAGCCCGTCGCGTTCACAGTGGCTAGGTCTCCCTCAAAGATTTGGCTGGGACCCCTCTGGTTTTGCTTGTCACGCATCTTTTGCTGCAGTGGGGTTTTGGAAATGCCCATGCTAAGAAGTAGTCCAGTTTCATAGCTGGCTGGGCTTCCTTGGTGCAGTTTCACCCTTTGCTGATTCTCTAGGGGAGACCAGAATTGCCTAGGTTCAGTTTAAAAAAACCTTAATGCGCTAATTTTTCTCAGTGTAGAAAGACGCCCGTCGGTGAAACTGAAACAAACACAAATCTTATGGCAAATATTGAAGCTTTACTAATTTCAATAGAACTAGTTTAAACATTTTTTCCCTTGCTGATTAATCATATTAGTCCTTTGAATGCTATATGTTTTAAGCAAAATAGACATTTGCGTGGGTCCACATTTAACACTGTTATTCTTCCCTAGTTAGACTTCATAACGGTGCTGTCAATCAATTGCAATGTGTTTCCCTTCCTTAAAAGACTCTTTTCTTCTTCACATTGATCAGAGCAATTAAATGTTAACATTTAATTAACAAATTGACAAATGCAGCTCCACTCCAACATTTCAAAAAGATAATCCACTAAAACATTAGAACATGTATTTGGGGGACTAATTTTTAATGATGTGTCTCCAACTTCATGGAGCTACGTGAGAAAAGCATCTCAGCTGCTACGGTACATTTCTCAGGTCCAGTCTGTTAAGACTACCAGAGGAGGAGAAAAGTTTGTTTGGCTTGGTTGACCTCTTACTGAAGCGGGGGCTCCCAAATTTGGGGATCTAGCAGGCAGTGATTGGATAAGGCCTGCCTTAGAAAAATCATGTCTGATCAGCGTGAATCTTAACGGGATCTCGAAGGAATTGGCCCTTCCAATTTCAGCCACTTCATGTCCTGAATTCTCAGCTGCTTTTAGAAATTCTTGAATTTGGGACATGAAAGGAGAGGGAAGTGAAGGTCCTGGCACTTCTGGGCCTTGGCATGAGTCCCAAAGAAACAATTGACTCCTGAACGGAAAATAACTTCATGTCAACATAGGATGATAGACTTGTATGGCCGGCGTGTTGTGCAACAAGGTCACATAGTGTAATAGGATTGGGACTGGGTTAGAGACTTAGGTCCTCACTGTGAGTTGTGTTGGTGGGAGGGTGCACAAAGGGAGGCTCAGCCAATCTCATTGTACGCATGTTGTACTCTGACAATAAAGGTAATAGTGTGACCAGTGGTGGGATTCAAAAATTTTTACTACCAGTTCGGTGGGCGTGGCTTGGCAGGGGAAGGTTACTGCAAAATCCCCCTTCCCTCCCCACTAACCTGCTTTCCAGCTCCATTCTCCTGTGCAGGGCAACCAAAGAAGATCCAGCCAATCAGAGGCAGAGAAGAGATGGGGTTGGCGGGGCCAGTCAGAAGTGGGATTGGGCGGTTCTCCGAACTTCTCAAAATTTCCGCTACTGGTTCTCTAGAACGGGTCAGAACCGGATGAATCCCACCTCTGTTTGTGACCTTCTAACAAGGAAAGTCAGTGGGGAAGCCAGATTCACTGAACCGTGTTACTAATTTAACAACTGCAGTGATTCACTTAACAATTCACTTAACATAGAAAGGAAAGTCATAGAATAGAATATTCTTTATTGGCCAAGTGTGATTGGACACCCAAGGAAATTGTCTTGGTCTCAGGGCACATAAAAGAAAAGGGACATTTCGTCAAGAGTCAAGAATCATCAGGTACAAGACTTAACAATAGTCATAGGGTACAATAAGCTATCAGATCATACTAGGAAACAGTCCGTATAAATTGTAAGCAACAAGGTTAGTCATACAGTCACAAGTGGGAGGGGAGGGGCAATAAGGAGTGATGAGAAGATTAATAGTGATAGTAGTACCGATGGGGCAAATTTCACTTAACGAATTTCTCACAGCATAGATTTTGGGCTCAACTGTGGTCCTAAGTCGAAGACTACCTGTAGCTTGGCACAAATTGAGAAAAAGGGTGAAACTCACAAAGGATCTTGTATGAATGGCGCTGCTAAACCTTTGCCTGGCCCAGTTATGCAAGAATAGTGGAAACACAAGTTGAACTGACTCTTTTCACCAAGGGTCTTCAATCTTGGTAGGTTTAAGGCTTGTGGACTTCAACTCCCAGAATTCCTGAGCTAACCTGACTGGAGGAGGAATTCTGGGAGTTGAAGTTCACAAATCTTAAAGCTGCCAAATTTGAAGACTCCTGCTTTTGACCTTCCCTGAGTTTAGCACCCTCCCAGAAGGACTGGGATGATGGCGGGGGGTACTTCCCTCATGCAGTGGCAGGCTGGCTGCCAGACTGGGAAAGGCTGTTTCGTAATTAAAGCAACTTTTCCAGTTTATTGGGATAAAAGTATGCTTGTAGTAATGCTTTCTACCAACCAGTATGGCCACTTTCAGACTTTATCCAGTTGCTGCAGGTCATTCTGGTTTTCATGAACTCACATAATCTGATATGGAGACCCAGAACCCGAAACAAGCAAATGTTCTGAAGAGTAGACAGCATTTTCTTCTCATTATCTAAAATGTTTATGCTGCCCGACTCCCAATGACTGGATGGCCCACAGCAACCTGCCTGTTAACGGACGACACAGACCCAATAATTTGTGGCAGTGTTTTGTCTAGAAATATTATAACTAGTATTTAGTCATCTCGTTAGCCTTTTTGTGATTTCTTAGGACCAACTAAAATTCAGAAGCAGGGAGGAAGGGTAGTAATAGACTATTTGCAAGCATATTCTTTTGAGTATCAGGAAGAAATTAAAGGCCTTAAATGGCTACTTAAGGAATTTATGGTATTGTATAGCAGTGTTTTCAACCTTGGCCACTTTAAACTGGGTGGCACCTCAATTACCAGAATTCTGGGAGTTGAAGTCCACCCACCATAAAGTGGTCAAGGTTGGAGACCTCTGCTCTATAGCATTTGAATTATGATCCAACATTGTGATGTTTGTCTCTAGATTCCTATTATGTTTAACTATTAGTTTTGTTGTTGCAACCAGCAAAGGTATACTTTTCATACATTAAGCCATTTTTAAAGCAATCACAGGTGCGCAAAATGCCACACATTTTCATCAATCTAAACGCAACTTTGGATTGTGAGAAGTATCTTCTTCCTAGTATTGGGACTCATTTGTGGCAAATCCTGCCTTGTGTTGCGGAACAAAATAACCTTTGTGCACTGGAGCTATAAAATTTGCACTTTGTCCGGCATTATTCATGGAACCGGTTTGGTGTTAATGTAGGTGGAACTTTTCCATGCTGGAATGTCCCAGGTTCAGAAGCTTCTCAAAGGCTCCCATGATTCCACATTGCCCACGTATTCCTGGCATGAAATGTCCTTCTGAGAAGATGGAGCAGCAGAGAGTGGTCCCGGGATATGAACTGAAGGGTCTTTGCAAACAGTATGCATCCCATTCTCACCACAAAACTGAAAGCATCACATTGAGGTCTGCTAAGGACGTCGAGACAAATGTAGTTAGGTACAAAATCTGTGTTTAAAAGAATTGGCCTTCTGTATATAGCTTAAATTTTGGAGATCATCAGAATTGTTGAATACTATCATTGTTGCATGCCGATATAGTGAAAGAGTCAGCTAACAGGATGTAAGAAATGTTTATTTGGCCCCAACCTATAACTGTTTCTTATGTAAGGTGTGGTGCACAACTGAAAGCACAATTTACTCTACTTGTAACAAGACAGGACCATGATGTATCTATAATGACAAATTGAATGTGACATATACATACCATTCCTTCCTCCTCAACTCACCTGGGAATATTGAAGAGATAGGGGCATACAATATCTCAGTGTTTCTCAGCATTGGCAGCTGGAAAATGGCTGGACTCCCAGAATTCCCCAGCCAGCTTTCTTCCAGCTGCCAAGGTTAAGAAACACTGCAGTATCCTGTCTGCCTCCCCTCTCAACTTTCGGGAAGATCTAATATAGCTGCACTCTCACATCTGCCTGTGACCCATCAGCAGTGAGGGTATGCAGAACAGGGCTGTGAGCACCACTGAAGCTGCTTGAGCTCAATCTCCTGAAAGGTCTGCCTTGAAATAATGCGACAAATAATGCGATGGTACAAACAAAAGAGATTTGCTGTTTTGCCAGTCGCACTGCTTGCTTCCCACCACAAACAAAACATCAGGACCTGCCTGAAAACACTGATAAATGCATTAAAATGTGGTTGTGTTGGCCAGGGCTGATGGAAGAAGAGAGCTGATTTTACCTTCGTAGAATTTTTAAAGTGGATTGTGTCGTAAACGAGTTTACTTGAAGGTACCAGTGATTTCTCAAAAATACTTACTTCTACTTAATAGATTGTAGCTAGATTTCAATTCTTTCTCCGACCTTTTAAGAGCAGTTTAAATAATAGTTACTTCCTATGGCAGGGAGGAAAGATTACTCAGTGAAAGACCACATGCAGAAAGTAAAGAATGGATGAATCTTGTCAAACATTTGCATGAGTCACCAGCAGCTATTGATTTGACTGCACTTTTGCAAAATACTTTTGGCAAGTCTTTTTTTGTTTTAATCATTGAGTGTTGTTGTAAAATTGCACTAACCTTTAGTTTGGATATTACTGATTAATCATCTCAGGGGGTGGGGGGGTGGCAGCAAATTGCATAGCCCTTTATTCTATGCTTTTAAATATTTCGTTCTCTATCTAGAATAATTCCATCCTGGCCTTTTCTTTGGTATTGTATAATCAAGATACAATTGTTTCATTGATGATCTATCAAAGAGTGGATTTCCCCGTTTGATTTTATAATCAGAAACGTACAAAACGATTACTTAAGTACAGTAGGGTGGAGCATAATCATTCCTAAGGATTCTCAGAATCTCTTGGTTGTATCATATTCTGCTGTTCTTGTTGGGTCTCCTGAATGTTTTAACGGTTACATTCTCTCAGGTTCATTAACTGAAAAAATGTATGTTCGTGATCATGTAGCAGTCTGAAGCATGGAAATATTTCACAATAAAAATGTTTTGTAGAATTACCTTTGATTATTTAAATGTGTTAAAATGTACTGTGTAATGCTGCATTTTTAAATTCAAATACCAGGAGTCCAGGCTGGGTTAATGTATTTCTCTTGTTTTGTATGATGTAATCTGCCATTATGATTTAGCTTATTTTTACTCAGCTTCTGTTAGTCACAGACTCAGTTTCCAACCAGAGGACATCTTATCTAACCATCTCCAAGCTTAAGATTTTAGCAGTAATGTCCAATATACCTAAAACATATTTTAATAAGAAGTAAAATGTGCTCTTAAAAGAAACGAAAATAAATATCCTTAGGTCTGATGATGAACAGAAAAATGAAAATGATTTGTGGTTGTAGGGTACCAGATGATTAGCCACCGGGAGACTATTACTGATGCATCACAGCCAAGCTAAAAATATTGTCCAGACAGCGACCTATAATGGCTGTTTTCAATATAAAGCAATTGTCTTTCTGATATGGTTTGCTTTAAAATTGTGTACAAGTCACCTGCAGTGAAATGAAACATTAGTTTTGTCTTTAATTGTTCTCCTTTGTATTATTAATTGTATTTAATTTAAAAATCAATAAGATTTACTATCAAAAGAAAACTAACTGACCTGTGGTATAAAAATCTGAGCAGCCACCAGATGGCAGCAAAGGTGAAGTGTTTTCTGAATCCCTTTGCCACTATTATGGTGTGAGGATTCCAAATTCTGCAACCGGGGTCTGATGGGCAGGCCTGGCCTCTCCCCCTAGTCCATATATGCCATATGCGAGCACGTGTGAGTAGTGTCATGTTTTGCACACACCATCTTTTGAATTGTGCCTGCATCTTGTTTACGCGTCTTTATTATAGTTACACCACTTCTATACAGCTTAAGGATGCAATCTACAAAAACAAGTTACATCCAAAGACTGGCACAAATGTGCCAATGGTTTCTAGTGAAAAATCCATCTGTTCCAGGGAAAAGTCCAGTTGCACTATAAAAACAATGAAAGATACAGACAATGGTGCCTTCACAGTTAGTTTATTTTACCGTTGCAATCAGCCAAATTGGCGACAAAGAATAAATAAAGTAGAGGGCAACAATTTGAATAGCCCAACATTAGACGTCTGTGGTCTGCTTTATTGCCCCATCTCATTATTAAAACAAAAGCTAGACTTAAGATCAAGTATCTATCCATTTAAATAAAAAAATTAGTGCAGGTCAACTATTTCCACCTCTGGACAAAAATAAAACAAAACCAAAACCAAAGATGTTAAATATTCCCATAGATACCTCGACTTCAAATTATAAAATGTAGAAAAATGGTGTAATATCTTACAGTAACAAAACACAAATGGGTTAAGTACTTCAGTCTGTTCCAAAATACTTCTGCCCAAAATGTGTAGGAGCGACTGGATGAACCTCTGTTGTCAAAATTGTGATATCTGGAAATTCCTGGATTATTGATTTGGCACCTTAAAAAAAAAAGGAAACTAAATTATATATGTAGCTATGTTGATTTTCTACTTCTGGAATATACCGTTATCCAATTATTACAAGCTTTAATCAAAAGTTGACATAAATTCCTTTTTTCCCCCCCTTTCCCAGTATTTTGTAAATTCAACAGTTGCATTTTCTTTGGACGTAGTTAATTTCTATGTGAAATCTTACATGTGATGGTTTCCACAGCCGTCAAACAAGAAATTCAATGATACTTCTATAATACAGAAATGACACTCTAGAATATTCTTATTTGCATAAGAAAAAACTTGTGTCCTCATAGGCATCAAATACCCATACACAATTCCTTTCATTTAGTCTGCCTTTTCTAACATGAAAGGATTTCACTACATAGCAATGTTGAAAATCTTTTCAAATGTTTAAGGATTATATTCATAATTATTCACTCCCATCTCTAATTGTATCTACAATATTTTGAGGATGCTCACATCCATGCCTTTTCTGAAGTACAACCAGACAGTCTGTTTTTCAAAATCTTGCAACAGAAGGGTTATGATTATGTTTCTCCATGTAACAGATTGCTTGATCGAGTGCTCATTAGCTTTACATATTTGTTTGGTTGTAGATCTATGCTGACCATCTGCCACTTTTTAAAGAAATCCACTATACCGTTGTCTATAATTTCCCGTTTCCAGCATGTGTATGGATCTCTTCAGATGAAAAGAGAGCTTAAACTCTTTACCACGAATGCCTTTATTTTATGAATTGCTACTAGTTTGCCTGAACTTACCATGGGGGGTAGAGAAGAGACTCAGCAGGATTATCACGTTGGGCTGAACCCCGTGTTCTATGAGGACCTTTACGGCCTCGATCACAGTGTTGCCAGTGCCTGGTCCACGGGTGGGGGGAGAGGAGTGGAAAGAGAGAGAGGAAGGAAGCAAAGGTGGGTTATCCAACTGCCTTTCCAAGCTTTGTGTGTGTGTGTGTGTGTGTGTGTCAGAGTCATCTTTTCTTTCAATATAATTACAACTGGAGTTAAGAGTCTAATTGTGGCACAATCTATTCCCAATTTCTTTTAAGAAATTTCTGTGAAGCATTTGGCTAAGCAGAAGAGTTTAGAACTTGGAAAGAAAGAGTCGATTACCAAGTATTTCATGAAGATTTTAAAAATCTGTGGAATTCTACATAGGCGTGCCGTTACTTACATGACGTTGGCAAACTCCCATTATTTGTTTTATATGATTAGACGCCTCTTACTCAATATGTGCAGCCTAGAATCTATATTTTGCCAGCTCCATTAGATCAAGGACTAGATCAGGGGTCCTCAAACTTAGCAACTTTAAGACTTGTGGACTTCCAACTCCCAGAGTTCCTCAGCCAGCAAAGCTGGCTGAGGAACTCTGGGAGTTGAAGTCCACAAGTCTTAAAGTTGCCAAGGTTGGAGACCTCTGGACTAGACCTTCCAGCAAAGCATGAAATGGGTGTATTTTGCAGCTCATCACAAGCTAAGCCTGTCCTCACTGGCTTATCTCTGTTCCAGCCGAGCCCTCTGCAGCCCCCACAAGCTTCCGATACCGCCTTTAAAGCACTCACTCAGAATGGGGTACATGAGGAGGACTTTCCTTCTGTAGATGTCCGGCGGAAATTTTGCATAGTACACTTTGGCTCTCTGCGTCTCCTCGTCGCTCTGGATCAGGATCTTCCCTATTCGTATAGATCGGCAGCAATCGCGCAAGCCCTGTTCCATGGCCTCCCCTTCAGTGGGAGAGGGAAACAGGAAGACGTCATGCAGCGAAGAAAAGCAAGGGGGTCACTCACTTTAAAAATGGGCATTTGCACTCCCAACCTCATTATAATTCTATGGTATTTTCCTAAATGGGGTTGGCTATCTTGCCTAGGCGAGGCCTGTGCATTATTTTCCAATCTGCATTCTGGTGTTATCGATAACGTGATACAACGTGATTAATAATAGTAAATACTAACAAGCACACAAGGAAATTTTAAGTGACCTACCACTTCTCATTATGCTGACCCCACAGTTTCCCTTTTCAAATTTCACTCCTTCATATTTGTACCCTGTTGAAAAGACATAAATATTCTTTTTATTTGTTATAAAGAATTTTTTACTCTTATAAAAATAAAGAAGTTTCTCCGGAGTTGGTATCCTTCAAGTTATTCAGTAGTAAACCTAGTAACTTCATTCCCCAGACAGCTTTTACTGCAATGACATGTTTAAATAAGAAAACAGGAACTCTTATAAATTTGGAACTATCCAGTCACAGAAAGAAAGGACAATATTGCAATGGTTGACCTTCAGTGATGAGAAATAAAATTTAACTTAAAATGCACTTTCATTGCAAACTTTTTAAGTGTTGAAATTTCATTACTATCTGTACAGTAGTCAATAAATTTCCTTTCTAAAGTTTAGTCCATACTTTTTTTGGGGGGATACACACAGAGAAGGAAAAACTCACTGAGTTGATGTTGTTGAATAATTAGCTGTATATGTCTTTCATATTCTGACTCCCAAGTCAGAAATCTGAGGAAAGAATCCAGTCACATCTGCAAAGAAGTACCAAAATAACTATGGAAGCTCCCTGACTGGCTTCCTGAAGGCTTCCCCAATTTTCCAAGAGGTTTCCCCTGTGACTTCCAAAACTGCAGCCTGCTTGTAGGAACCAATCAGGTCAAGAAAGCTATTTTTAGGCTAATGCATTGAGCAAGAGTCCAAGCAAAATTAAGAGAACTCTATTTATTATCAGACTATTTATTTACAGCCTCTACAGACAACTCTATTTATTTACAGACTATTGTTCCAATCATATATTGTAGACTCGGGCTTGATAATGCAGAGCTGGTTCAGACATTTCTGCCAGAATGAAAAGCCAGCTGATTCAAAGCAATAGTGCTTCTTGCGTAGAATTATGATTTTGAACATCTGAAGCTAATTAACACCTGGCCAACCACAGCAGAAACCAATAAAAAACCAAAACACACAGCCAATTTGAACCTGTCCATATCTATATTAAAGACCTCTAGGAAATCCCAGGCTGGAAAATTAAAATATATTGAGAGACATGGATAATTGTAAAGCTACATGGTTTCCAAGAAAATTACACGGATGCAGTCATGAAATCTTCAGGAGGAATGCTCAGCCTAAAGGGGTTTTTGTCTTCACCGTTACCAGAGCTTTAGACTCCTTTAATAAGACGATAAAATAAAAAACACAATCTTCTTGCTGACTGGATCTAATCTATGAATCAGACAATATAGAGCTCTTGCTTACATAAAAGCTCTCAAACTATTAGAAGGACACATTGATACAAAATAAGTGAATTTATCATCTCCTTGCTAGTTCATTATAGTTGCAACGTTTCTCAGACTCACTTGAATCAAATCTAGGGTCAGATGCACAATAACGCAAAGTTCCAATCAGCTAGAAACAGCATCTCGCAGTCACATGTCACCATTATAATCAGTGCACATTGTTCTCTGTCTGACCTGTTATTTCTCCCCCCCCCCGCCCGCCCCTTATAAGCAGAGACACTAAAGAGGAAGGGATTTAAACAGATTGTAAATCATACAATGGAAATACACATTTAAAGCAATTCACTGGCCCTGGCAGCCACGAGCATGCTACCCAAACAGCTACCCAAACAGCGCGGTATATTTCCCACTGTGTGCCCGTTTCCTCTCGTTACTCCTTCCTTTCCAATCCTTTCCTTTCTGTTCTACAAGGATGTGCCTGACCTGATTCCCCCACTCCCTGTACAACAGAGAGATTGGAGAGGAAGGGATTACAAAAGAGGAACAATGGGAAATACACTGGTTTGCCAAACGGACTCGGGGGCTAACAGTGCCACCACATTCCTTTTGGTGTGTATCTGCTTGCCGCCTTGTAACCACCCTTCCTCTTCACTGAATGTAGTTCCCTTCTGCTAGCACACCAGGACAAGCATTCTAAAGGGTGGGGCTGTTGAGAAAAAGGAAAATACGGTTGCAGTCACCGGATGTCCCACTTAGTGGCTGCTTTGCTTAATGAGAGTTGCTCGTCCCAATTATGGTTGCTAAATGAGGATTACCTGCATTTGAATGACCAGAGCTAAAATAGCCTTCTGTTTATTGGATTTTTATTTGTCTACCTCAAGATTTAGTTGCTCAACCTGAACTACCTATAAGCATGTAAGCCATCTGCTACAGAAACATATAATACAGTATATATTTACATCCAAATGTTATTTAGTCTTTATCATTTTAAGGCAGGTCACATATGTGATCTCTTTAGAAATCTATTAAATTTTGCTGTTCTTTGATGCCTGGGACAACAAAAACCAGAGAGCAATTTCTTATGAAATGTATTTAAATTGCTGCTAAAGAGCATTCTGTGTTTTGTTTAATAATTTTGTTTGTTTGTGCTAACTGTATGATATCTTATCCATGTGTTATCTATCTCTTTTAGCTTTGCACTAAATAGAGTTAGTCCTTGGTTAGCAACAGTAAATGGCACCAGGAACTCAATCACTACATGGTCGTAACGCAACACAGCACACGACTGCATCAACTTCTGATGGCGGTTCCAGTCATTAGGTGGTTTAAGCCCAACGACCACCATTTGCAACCTCCTGCCAGCTTTGCCATGGACTGCTTGCCTGAAACCTGTAGTGAAGATTGCAAATAGTGATTATGTGATTGTGGGATACCGCAACGGTCTGTGAGCCAGCGGCCAAGCACCTGAATTACAATTACACGACTGCGGGAAGACTGCAACGAGCCCAATTTCAAGGTCCAGATGTGTCTCCTCATTCAGCACCACTGGAACAAATGTTTATGAACCTTTATATAATCTGGCCTGGGACATTCCCACGCCTTGGGAGCTTCTACCTTCTTCTTACCTGTTGGAGTGGTCACTGTGCATTCTGTGTAGGGTAGTCTATTTAATCCCTCTTCAACTACGAGTCTGATCTGCAAGGGAAGTAAAATTCAAATAATCACGGCAAAAGCAAAGTTTCAATAAAAGCATTTCTCACTTTTATTGTAAGCAAAATTTGTCTCCTGCCTAAATGAAGCCTACGGATAATCCTCCGCTTATTGCCAATCGTTTAATGACCATTACAAAAGCCCCAGGAAGGTTGTTTTATGGCCATTAAGCACTTCTGGCCATCATAAAATGTTGCCCACCTCCCATCTTGGGCGTTTGGCAACTGACTCCCATTTATGATTGGTTGCCAAGTGCCACCCGATCATAGGAATCATTTCCATTGAAACTGATCTCTTCTAGGAATAGGTGCTTGATGGTTTTAACCCAGGAAAGTGAAGCCAAAAGTTCTTTAAGCTAATACTATGATTGAGCTTATGAGGCACGTCCAGCCTGGCCCTTTGCACAGAAAAAGAAGAGAGGTGTGCTAAACCTTTGCTTTTGGAACGGAGGGGGGCTTACACAGCTGTGGGAAAGTAAGGGCAGTTCCTCTTTTTTTTCCCCCTTCACCAGGAAGTGGCTGCAGTCCTCCAGCCCCACCCAGGAAAATGGCAAAAGGGGGATTTTAAGACACCGCAGTTTAACTTTTTCCTCCTGGTAAAGGGCGAGGTGGAGCTGCCCCCTGGGAGGAGGAAAACAGTGGAAGCCACTTGGCACGGGGCAGGGGAGGGCAGTGATGGCAGCTGCGCGGGAGCGTCCCAGGGATTCGGGGCTTCAGGGGTGGGCCTCTCCTGGCCTTTGGAGCCAGCTGTGGGCAGCTGCTTAGGTACCCTGCTATGAAGACTTCCCAGATGTTCGGTCCTGGCGAGGTGGCTGCTTCACGCACCACTGGAAGCTCCCCAGCATTAAAGGGCATAAATGGGGGGGGGAGGGAGAGAGAAGCTAGGAGCTGCGGCCAGTTCTAAGGGTGGGGGGGGGGCTGCTGTACCCCTGAGCTTTGATCATGTGATCCTATGAGGGCTGCAACAGCTGTAACATCGGGCACAGGTCACAAGTCCCTTCGTTCAGCACCGTCGTAATTTCAGTCGTTGAACGAATGGTCGTAAGCTGAGGTCTAACTGCATAGGACAGCCACAACGGTGGATAAACAGAATATCTTAAGAGGATTCTCTCCTTATCTGTTGGCATTACAGCTGAGCCAATACAAACAACAGCATTTATTCATTTAACTCTTTGATTTTAGAATGTTTCAAAAAGCATCAAAACAAGATTTCCAAGACACGCTTGAAGGACGGCTTTTAGCACTTTCAGCTGTATACCCCAAGCAGGGGACCATCTCCATGAATCAACTAGCGCTATTTATCAAATGGAGAAAAACGTATAGATTCCATGTAAATAGGCATTTCCAAGAAAACTGATATTGGAAAATACAACAACAGTCCTATAGTCTGGTTACATTAAGTAAAAAAATACCAACTGATTCAGAATCCATATGTATTCTTGAATATATATCCTAAAGATTTACGTTTAAATTTTTATGTGGAAATATTTTACTTGGTAAAACAAGCAAACATATCTTGCCGCTGGGAAAAAGAAAATTCTGTTTTTTAAAAAATTTGTTTGAATTCAAATTTTTCATTAAGAAATCTCACTGAACTTTGATGAAATTACAATAGGAAAAACAAGGAGTGCGGTTGCACATGTGTAGGGGGCCCTGGGTTGGAGGTCAGCAAGTCCACGTTTGAGAGTGCTGGGGTTGTGGGTGGGGTGAGTTCCCATCATTCACTCCAGTTCCTTGATGGGGACATCAGAGGAGCCCCCATGGATGCCCCCCAGGCAACAGGGATGTCACCAGCTAATTCAACCTGGAAGCACCCCAACCCAGGGGTCTCCAACCTTGTCAACTTCAACACTTGTAGATTTCAACTCCCAGAGTTCCTCGGTCAGCAAAGCTGCCAAGGTTGGAGACCCCTGACCTAAACCATACCTCTGACCTAAATGGGGAACAGGACAATAGGAAAGCACAATATAATAATCAAACTATATCATTAATATTAATGACTGGTTTTTAAATAATCTATGCTTAAGGGTGGAGTCATTATGGTAATAACACCTTCATGAATGAGCATAACATAGTGCATGAAAAATATGGCTTACCAAGCGATCAGCAGAAAATACGAAGTCACCTCTGCTGGCTGTCCTGAACAAAAAACAGTAAGAAATCATTTTATTAGGGATTCAACTTAGGTTTGAATCACTTTGTTAGTTAGCCTGGAATATTTAATATAGTTAAAGTGTGACACTAGCAACACGCACATTCGTTTTATCGATTATTTTATGAGAACGTCTAGAGCAGGGGTGTCCAACCTTGGCAACTTTAAGACTTGTGGACTTCAACTCCCAGAATTCCTCAGCCAGCTGGCTGAGGAATTCTGGGAGTT